GATACGGGAAAAGCTACAGAAGAAGAGAAGTCTGCTATAAATTTCTTATCATCAAATCATTATATCCTTGACTAAATGTAAATAAATTCTCAGCTATAGTTAAATCCTGTTTTATATTTCATATTGACAAAAGTCATTCTAATTGAAAGATAACCAGCTCCCAGTTATTCTTTCTTATTCACTTTTTGGAGACTTGCAAGATTATCAGACCCAAACACTGGCTGTCAGAGGGAGGAAAGGTAGGATAGTGTGAACGGAGGTAAGTATTATCAGAAATAAATTTTTCATATAGGAAAATGTAAACTTCTCAAAACATATTTATCTTTATATAGAATCCTATATTGACAAAGTGGAGGGGCTGGTGAGGGCAAGATCAACACAGAAAGTATTTGCAAAAAAAAAAACAGGTGTGCAAAATTGAGATATGATAAAGCACACTAGTCCAGGTATGCACTACTTATGGAACAGGTATGGTCTTCGCCCACAAAAAATTATATCTCAATGTGGGTAGTAAAGGCCAACCAGCTACAGAGTCAATATTGTTCATTATGAAAAGATTCATCCAGGCCCCAACCACACAGACAAGGTTCTACATCTTGTCCTTGGAATTATAGGGCTGTGGGTGCAAAGCTAAATCCAAGGTATGGTGGCTAGGGCATATATATAAACATGAAATCCTAGTTAAAAATAAAAATACTCATTTATTGTTTAGGTTTATTTACAAATACTATTTTCGGGTCTTGTATATTACTTGAAACCATAAGGAGAGTGAGTGATTAGTAAAAAAATTAAAAATTGATAAAATTTGCATTTTGTGGACTTAAAAATAATGTACTAAAACATAAAAATTAATAAGCCCAAATCTGGAACAAATATAAATATTGTAATCATTTCTTATAAATTCCATTTCCTAATGTAATTTTCCAAGATATGAAAGATCATAATGCAAAAAAACTAAACTTATCAAAAGTAACAGGCTTTATGTTTCTTAAACTATGTGCATTTATGAAAGTTTCTATGAAGTTTCAAACAATTTCATCAACTAGTTTTATTGCTGGAATGACATATAGCAAGACTTGCATTGGCTACTAAGAAATTTAGTAGCCGGTTGTCATCGGGTTAAAGTCTTCAATAGAGCTAGAAACACTCAAAAATTTAATGTCAACAGCAAATTTCACTAATTTACTATTTATAACCATATAAATATAATAATATAAATAATAAAAACTAAAAATCCAATTAGTTTCCATCATCAAGATAACAAGGAACATCTAAAAAGTTAACAAATGTGATGATCCTTTTCTAGTGTGACAACTTTCCCCATTCAGCACATTAGATTGTCTAAAGTAGCCTCAATTAGCTTTACAAATAAATAAAACTTTATGGATTCCTAGGAATAGTTTACTGATACATAAGACACATCACAAAAGACAATTCTACACTTTCAGTTTCTATGCTCTTGCAGTTTTATGTTACCAAAATATGACTATCAAAGAGTAATATGAGGGTTACATCAACAGTACAGATATTATTTTTATAGTTTTTATTTTTCAAAACATTCTTGATAAATTTCACACCCACCTACTAAATAAACAACAATTAAGACATCCGATTACTATATTATATATTTTTTATTTTCACAACATGCGAGATAAACATACATTTTTAAGTGATTAAGCAACCCTTTAAGCACTCAGTTGTTTTCTTCTTATAATGAAGGATAGGAAAAAACAGTTAAGATAGTTCAGGTCTGTGATGCCCTTCCACACTGGAAGGACCGACACATTAATAAATGTAGTTCAATCAAACTGGACTGGAATAGCAAATAGGTGAAACAAGATTGTTCATTCTTAAACCATATGTTTTAAGAAAGTATTTGTTGTTGTTCACCTGTTCTCACCAAAATATTTATGACCCAGATCAAAAAGTTAACATTTTCCTAAACTGAAAATGTATTTCCAATAGATATTTACCTCCTCTGACAAAAAACTTTTCTTGACTTATACTGCCCTTTATCAGCACATTTTCACTCACCACTAGCCATGAAACTCCCACTTATTTCTGCATACTAACATGCAAATGATTATGCAGCAATCTTCCACCAATAGAAGTGCAACACTACCCTTATCATAACTAGCACCCTCTCTAATCTTGCAGCTGTTAACCACTTCGAGATTGGTCAGATCACACCAAACAATACTAGAAGTGGGGAGGACAGGTAGGAAATGTGAGAGGAGGCAAGTATCTATTGGAAATACATTTTTCAGTTTAGGAAAATGTAAGTTCTGATATGATATCTTACCTCCCACATTGAACCGGTGGAAAGCTAGGGAGAAGATGATCCCCCTTTAGGAAGCACTCAAAGGAAAACATGGGAAAAGGAATTAAAAACAACACACCTGTGGGAGATAGCACCACTTCTGAGCCAGGTATAATCTTTGCCCTTTAATAATGTGTTGCCAAAACATGTGGAAACATGGAGGGACCCAACGAAAAAAGTACAGAAATAATGGGACCCCCTGGTGTAGAGTGGCTAGGGTGCAATAGACTGTAAATGAGAGTTTGACATAAACCAAAACCTGGCAGCATCTGGAATTGTACATCAGGTCTGCAGTAGGAAAAGGGTCCTCATTCACCTCAAAAACGAGTACCATCAGGGAAGAGGAGCTTCCATACCAAGAATATGCTTCTGCATGTGCGCACCTCCAACACAAGATCCACCAGGAACTTGCATCCAGCACATAGTAGGAAGGTGGAGAGCCCAAGTAGATGTTCCTCTTCAATCCAAAGCTTGGCAGCATTGGGAATTTTTTGTTCAGTCCACAATAGGAGGAGG